ACTATACGGTAAAAGATTATAAATAGAAGGAATTAGAGAAACATATGAAGATCTGTATGAAATGATGCAGAAGGAAGCAGAACTAAAAAAAAAATTATTATTACAGTGCCTACAACAACCGCTAACAGATCCCAAAGAACAAACAATGAAAAATACCACCCTCTTCATGGCAGAGGTGGGGAACTACTAGGAAAGAATGTTGTATACATAGGAGTCCTTGTTATCAGATATTATTGCCCTTTTGTGGGATAGAGGGGTTAAAAAAGAAGATTCAATCTGGAGGGAGCAGAGGGGGTCTTTTCCCGGAAATAACTTATGTAAAGACAAAAAGTTTATATGGCTCCCAAATTAAAGGTTGTCTTCTAAACCCAAGCAAATCTTCAGAAAATGTGTTTTAAGTAAATCATATCCCTATCACAATAAAGATCTTAAAGTATCCTACACAGCTTTAACTCCTTTCTGGTTACACAATTCACTAAAACTCCCTTGTCTGCAGACCTTCCAACATGCCCTCTGTGCCTATCACCAACTACAGATGACTCCCCATGCATCTGTCTTCCCTGTTCCTGATCTAAGTCCACAAAGATGTGCAAGAGAAAGTCAAAGAACGGTCAGAACAGATCAAGCAGGCTTTCAAAGCCATACCCCTAAAGATTTTAAACTTTCACTGTCATATATGTAACTTAGAATTACAAAATGTCAAAGCTAAGAGAGACCCATATATGTAATTTAGAGTTATAGAATGTCAAAGCTAGGAGAAACCTTAACAAAAGCTGCCTTGCTTTATTACAAAACAAATCTATGTGCCACACAGAATTGAATTTTTTACCATTAAAAATAAGATTTTCTAAAAACTAACATAAACAAGTATCCCCCTTTGTACCACAAGCAGTTGCCCATCTTAGTGATACTAGTTCTAGTTCTGTCTTCAGAGCTGGTTCACCAAAGGAAAGATTCCTTCAAAGTACTGGTTTGATTAGATAGCTGCTAAGGTCCCTTCCAAATACAAAATTCCATGATTCTAGAAATTCACATTCTCTGAACTCTAACTCTAATTATGCTGTGTGTGACAAACTTTTTATTCATTCTCTTACTGATCCTCTAACTAGCACACCTTCAGAGTGATCTCTTAGCACATGTGTATATGCATGTGTATAAGAGATACTTAACCCTTTTGTATCATGGACTGCTTTGGCACTAAAAGTGATGAATACCTTTTCAGAATACTGTTTTCAGAAGTATAAAATAAAACACATAGGATTACAAAGGGAACCAATTATAATGAAATACAGATATCAAAGTATTAATAAAACAAATGTGCAATATAATGATAACACTCATACTGGGCCTACTATGTGTCAGGCACTTTGTTATGAACTTCACAAATATCATTTCATTTGATCCTCACAACAACCCTAGAAGGTAGGTGTTATTATCCCCATTTCACAGATGAGGAAACTGAGGCAAAAAGAAGTAATTTGCCCAAAGTCACACAGCTAGTAAGTATCTGAAGCTCAATTTGAACTCAAGTCTTCCTGACTTCAGGTCCTGACCTCAGGTGGCAGAGATACCCTGAAATCCAAGGTATTAAGAATCCCTGTCCAAAAGGGTGATTTTTTTTTCAACATCACTTCAACAGAGATGAAATGCCAGAGATAAATGCAAAGCTCTGTAACTTTAAACAAATTATCCTCACTGGATCTATTTCTTCTACTGGCTTCAATTCTAAGATTCTACACTAATTTTCAAATTGGAAAAAACAGGGATTTATTTATCTATTAAGTTTGATAAGACACATACACAGAAAATACAATGCTATTAAAATATGAACAACACGAAATTTAAATCAGAAGATAAATTGTATTTTAAGTTATCCCTCTTTGTCTCCCTCTACCCCATAAATGTCACTGTTTTCTAGTTTAATTAACAGGTTTTAGCAATTCCTAAAGGAACAGTTTTCAACATCTCCAATGTTATCTTTAAATAAAGTTATTCCAAAAGTCTTGGTGCAGTTTTTAGCTATTAAAGCTAATAAAGCTTAAATTGCACTAAGACTTTTGGGACCACCCTATTAGGCACACAGCACGAAGCCACTATCAAAAAGACTTAGGAGACTTAACAAAAGGAAAAAAAGAGTGAAAAAATTCAGGCAAAACACAAAAGTAAAAACAAATAAAGGAACAACAAGATCTACTACTCTTAGCTATGGCATTAACAGTGAACAAAAACTAGATAAAATGTTTCTGTAAAACCATATGCTAGAGAGGCTAATCCAAGGCATTAGAAATGGCAGAGTTCCATTGTAGTCCTAACTATTTACTACAAATGACAGATGCACTGGTTAGCAGAATGGTACACAGGAATGATGACAACACAGGAGGTTTAAAAAAAAAAGGGGGGGGGCCTCAAGTCTTCCCATAGAATTTCAACACACTTTCAACCAAATAGCAAACATAAAACAGCTTAAAGAATATTGTTTGATTTCATACCTCTACTGCATAACTTTCTAACAACATATTTAAGTAACCTTTGTTATATTCATATAAAACAGTATCGACAAAAGCCCTTAAGATTAAAAAATGTCCCAATTCAAAGGTCCAAATCCAAGTGGTGTAGAGAACTAAAAAAGCTAAGGATTATTTTCATAGACTATCAAAAAAAAAAACTTTTTCAAAGAAACCTACAAGATGCTATGAAAGACTTCCCCCAATCATTCATTCAAACAACCAAACTCTAAACTTGTCAGCAATAAGTAATCTCATATACCAAGATAAACAGTAAAATAATATGCAATACATAACATAATTCATAATGAACCCTAGAATTGCTTTTTCATCAGTTTGAATTAGCCTCCCCCCAACTTACAAAACTGTAAAAAAAAATTCAATTTTACCCACTCCTTCCAAATATAAGTATTACTGAATTTAAGTCCATCTGTTGAAAAAAGATTTCTGAACAAGTACAAATGAATGAAAAAACAATGCACACACTCCTGGAAATAAGACTATTGCCAAATAATATCAGTGTAATACTATAAGAAATATGGCAATTCAATCTAAGATTATAAGACAAGTCTCTATCCGCCTTCAATTATGGCTCAGATTTCTATTTTCATTCACTCATTCATTCAGCAAATATTTATTAAATGATTATTGCATGTATCCCATCTCTTTATTTCGTAACCAAATGTAAATATCTCTACCTTTTTAGTAAGTTCAAAATATATCAGCTTTGAGAATGTCTTATTAAATAGGTTAACAAGTATTTAAGTGATATCTGATAATAGAAATAAAATTATACAAATTAACCCAAGAAATAAAAGAAATGACTGTCCATATTATTCACTACTGAAATGCTGACAAGTTCCTATGTTAAGTGCTAACACTACATGAAAACTAAAATTAAAATTCACTCTGTAGAAAGAATTTGGAGAAAAATAGGTGGAAGAGATTTTTCAAACAAGTATTTAAGTTTGCATGACATCTCCAGAGTACTTAGTTAAGTATTCAAATGTATAGGGTCATAAAGATATGTGTGTAAGGGAAACAAACGATTTTTTCCCATCTCTAATCTAATAAGTTGAGTCACTTTTCAGTAGCTACAAAACAAACAGTTTTTAAGAACAATAAATAATGAAGGCATTTTGAAACAAAATAAGGCATATATGTATTTAATCCCTACAACTTACAAAACATGTTTGTCCTCATGACTAATAACCGTAGCTGTTATACAAGAGCTCAAATCCAACTGCTGAAATACTGTCACATACAGAATGCCAGTTCACCAAGTTTTCAAAATTAGATTATATTTTTTAAAGGAAATTCCACACTTATGTTCTTAGTATTAAAAAGGGAATACTTTTACTAAAGCAAAAACATTTTCAAAAAAACCTAAAGAGGACTGAAACTGAGTCACTTATTCAGACATCTTTTTTCAACAGATGAACTTAACTCAACAACATTATCTTTGGGAAAGGGAATTGGTGTCCTATAATTTCATAAATGTGGGGAACTCCTAGTGTATAAACTTCCTCCACCAATACAGATCAGTAACTCTTCCATAACTTATAGTCTTGAGCTGCCTAAAGCACTGATAGATCAAATGATCTGTTCATGATCATACAGCTCTGTGTATTGATAACAGGACTCAAATCCAGTCCTAACTACAAGCCCCATCTTCTATCCATTTGCCTTTGTGAATAAGTATGCTAGATTAAAACAGTCTAAATTGAATTTAAGAATAATTTGCTCAGCCAAGTTCTAAGAACATGAAGTCAGTATTTACCTATTAAGGGTCTAGCAAACTGGACTTCAAATTGCCTTGTTTCCCAAGATAATAATTAAGGTTTTAGACATTATGATGAAGTATTTTAAGATATAACCCTATAAACAAAAGGTCCTATCTCTAAGTTTTTAGAATTTAACACTCCTTAGAAAAGCTGCGTAATTCCCTTTAAAGGTTCCTGTAATGAGAGGAATTGTCAATGCTATATAGTTACTAAATGGTATGTCTCCAAATACTGAATGTTCCCTTCTTTTTGTATTTCAGGATGAAGCAAATAAATTTGTTACTTATCAGTGAAAAAAAAAGATGTAATGATATGTTTGAAATAATTATTTAATGATTCAGAAAACCCAGTTCGACATTCTTCAAATTTCAGAGCATCATACTCTGCCAAACTAAAGGTCTCAGAACTCAACTGTCAAAATCACTAGACAAAGAATAGTGTTTAAGACTAATAAGGGGAGTACTAAAAGCTAGCAGGAGAGTAATTGACAGGCCCTTTATGGGACCATTCATGTTCAAGTAAACAGCTTCTAGAAAAGCTGCTGATAAGTTTCTTCTCCTTCTCTGTATTTATTTTGCATGGGATGTGAGAAAAGAAAATGATATTTATATTGTAAGGTATTACCAGATTTCATATTATTTTAAAAGACAGGATAACGATCAGGGACCATTAGAAAAAAAAAAGACAAGGAATTTTTGGAAAATAATCATACCTATTCCATAGGCTTTAGCACAGATCCATTGTAAATTAGCAGCTATTTTCGCCCTGGCTGAATCATAGAGCTCAGAAGGGACAATTTCAACTGCACTGTCTGTCAGGGCCTCCATTTTTCTCCTGGTGCTATCTCCACCAGCAGAAACATCAACATCCACCATCTAAAAACAAAAAGAGGTAAGAATTTTAAAAGCACTGAGAAATCGAATTTGGCAGCAGGCACCTCCACCCTAAAAAAAAAAATCTATCAGCTGTAACGTTCCATTCAAATACACTAGGTTCAATGTCAAATGCCATGCTAAAAGCCTAATTTTTTCCCCAAACTGCCATTATCGTAAGATTTTAAAAAAAAAACACATAAGAATGTGATAAAGAGGAAAAAATACATCAACTGGGTGGGGGTACCTAAAATAACACAAACCCGGTATCGAATACCGGCATCTTGAAATTCTGCAGTACAGCCACCTTGCATTCCCATTGTATCAACCGTACATTTTTGCAAGGATCATCTCCATTGTAAGACACAGACACAAGGAAACCTATCACGGATAAAGGTGGGAGGAGGAGCTGTGGAGGAGAGACAAATACATACACAAAAAGGAGTCGCGAGTGGCTCTTTACCTGCCACTTTCCCATTAATGAACAAACCACTGCCTTCTGCATCCCAATCAAATGTACATCTTTGTGGGGGTGGACCCTCACGGTGGGCACCGACCCCCTGTGGCGCGCCAGGATCGGGGCGCGGGTAGCAAGAAGGGAGTGATGGACTCGCCCCCGCCCCAGCACGACTGGAGGGGCGGGGGCTCCCGTGGGCAAGGGGGCGCCGGCTCCCCTCAGGCTGGGCAGACAGCCGGGAGCCTCCCCGCCCCTAGCCGCTGCTCCTCACGCCCGCCCCGCCGCCGAGGCCTACCTAGCAACCCGTGCCGCCAGACCTGGAGCGCCCCGGGGCGGGCGCGGCTGAGGAGGAGAAGACGCCGCGGTCCGCTTGGGGCGCTGGGAGAGCCCAGCCCAGCCCGGCCCGGGAGCGGGGAAGGGCCGAGCGGGGGCAGGGGCGGGGGTCTCTGAGGGGCCTTCCCTGCCAAAGCCTCCTCACAAACCTTTCACAGCCGCCGCCTTCGCCGCCTTTGCTGCTTCATCCTGAGGCCGCCGCTGCCGAGCGCTGAGGCCGGGGAGAGGCGGCCGGAGAATGGACCGCCCGATGGGCCCTGTCGTTTGGGGCAAATGGAAGGACCGGGTGCGGGAGGGCGCGCGCCGAGAGCACGGGGCAGGGAACGCGCGGCTGGGGCGCTCGCGCACGCGGCTCGCAAGCGGCCGCTCCGGGCCGCCCCCAACGGTTCCACCGAGAATGGGAAAGCGTTTGGGTAGTTGCGCAGGCGCCTTGCGGACCGCGCAAGAGCTCTCCAACCGTCGTCGTCCTCGCCCTCATCCCCCCTCCCCTCTCCTTTCTGCAGGTGCCTAAGCGAGCCAAGCTCCTTTACCAGAGTCTTTACCCTTCAGACGGCTTGGCAAAAGAAGTCCAAGAGATTAACGTGTCTCAAGGACAGGGATGTAGGAGCCAGCCCTAGAAAAGAAATTATTTTGAAGGATGGAGGAGGGTGCATCTCTTTAGAAGAGCTTGCCATCCCTATCCCTTTGTCTTTTAGCAGTCTCCCTCAGGACTGTGCTTTTGACCTAGCCCATCCAATGGTTTCACAGAATCACAATACCTAGGTTGGACGGACCTCAGCAGCCATCTGTCCAACGTATACTTGAAGAAAAAAAATCCCCTCCACCACATACCTGAGAGATCATCCAGCCCAAATTTACCTCTTTTATAAAATCTGAGACTTGGACAGAGTTTAGAGATTATCTAGTCTCTCATTTTACAGATGTGAAAACTGAGAACTATAGAAGGGAAGTCATTTTCCCATAAGGCAGTAAGCTAGGATTCAAACCCAGAATCTTACATCCAAATCCAGTTATTTTCCCATTACACTCATGGCTACCTCCTTTCTGTAAATCATGGAGTTTAGAGCTGGAAGGGGCCTTTTCTCATATTTAATACAACCTCATTTCATAGATGAGGAGTTTGAGACACAGTGAAGTTAAATGATCTGATCCTTACAAATTGTCCAGCCCCCTCTTAAGATCCCTTCCAATTTTGAATCAGCAGAGCAGAGCCTCAGTCTCAATGAAATGACAGCAGCAGTCTCTGCTTAGAAATTACCCATTGACCAGTGAAATATTCCTTGCTCCATGGACCTTTTTAAAATCAATTAAATGCTTATTAATTGCTTCCCATCCAAAAGGGGCTAGGCTTGGTTCTGCAGAGAACACAAAGACATCTTACACCAGTAGGTGTTCCCTGCCACGGAACTTAGAGCACAGGACAGAAGACATGAGACATATACTATTAGTAAAGAAAATAAATACAAGGAATACCTGATAATTTTAGTTCTTCACAGTTTAGAAAGCATCTTCCAGAACTGGAATTTGAAGGAATGTCCATCAATTGGGGAATGGCGGAACAAGTTGTGGTATATGAATGTAATGGAATACTATTGTAAAATGTATAAGCAGGTGGATTTCAGAAAAACTTACATGACTTTCATGAACTGATGCTGAGTGAGGTGAGAAGAACCAGAACATTATATACAGTAACAGCAACATTGTGCCATGATCAGTTATGATTGACTTAATTCTTCTTAGCAATACAATAACCCAAGACAATTCCAAAAGACTCATGATAGAAAATGCTATCCACATCCAGAGAAAGAACTACGGAGTCTGAATGCAGATTGAAGCTTATCATTTTCACTTTTTTTATTTTTTGTTTTTTATGGTTTTTCCCTTTTGTTCTGATTCTTCTTTCACAACATGACTAATGTGGAAATATGTTTACATGATCATACATGTACAACCTATAACAAGATTCCTTGTTGTCTTGGAGAGGGGTATGGGAGAGAAGGGAGGAAAAAATCTGGAACTCAAAATCTTATTAAAATATGAATGTTGGAAACTATCTTTACATGTAATTGGAAAAAATAAAATATTGTTTACAAAAAAAAAGAAAAGAAAGCATTTTCCTCACAAAAACCCTATGAGTTAAGCAACACAAGTGTTACTGTCATATGGAGAACTCACTCCAAATTCAGAGTATCTTCTAGGAGAATGCCACATCTTGAGAGTGAGTTCAGCTAGCATTTACTTAACCAGAGCATGACTAGCAGCCCCTTACACCACCCCCAACATCCACCAAAGTCTACCAACCATTCATAGGACACTGGAAGGTGAAGGCACTAATCCCCCATCCTAAGGTTCACAAATTCCTGTCCTTATGATCCCCTTATCTCTTTACTTCAAAGTCATCATACAATGATGTCAGAAATTCTTTTCCTTTGTTCTGTCTCCTAATATCTTCGGTCCTATCCACTTCAGCCCTACCCATCCACAATCCTTAGTCTCTGTTCTTCAGTTTCATTGTTCCCTCTGAACACCCAATATATTGTTAACAAACTCTCCCTGACCCTACTTCTTTTCCTCTAGTTCTCTTCAGGCTCACAGAAAGCTTACCCAAGAATATGCCATAACACTGACACCCTTCTCCATTGCAGGGGCTAGTTATTTTCTTTCTCTCAGTCCTCCTGACTGATTGAGCCAGGAAGAGAAGTCAGACTACTTGGGGGTAGCTAGATGGCACAGTGGATAGAACACCGGCCCTGGAGTCAGGAGGACCTGAGTTCAAATCTGGCCTCAGATACATAATAATTCCTAGCTGTGTGACTCTTGGGCAAGTCACTTAACTCTAATTGCCTTGTTAAAAAAAAAGTTAAGAGAAATCTGACTACTTCTTGATTCCCACTACCACTTCCTAACCCTCTCCCTGCTGTAGTCACTTTGCAAAATCTCCTTTAAGGTTCACTCCAACTGCCTGTATCACTCCTTTCCATAAACATTGCACTTATTCATTGGTTTGGTTTCCCTGACGATGACTATCCTAGATTCAAAGCACTCTGTGGGTCTGCACTCACAAAACCATAGCTCAAGAGAACCCATCTATGTGTTTACCTTTTAGTAGCTAGCCAGCAGGCCACAATTAGCATAGAGCACCAGCATTTACAGGAGTAGCAAAGTAAGGGGATTTATATTAGAGTCTTCCCTCCCAAAATAAAACCTAAGGCACTAGAACAGTAAATATCTTAAACTTAATATGTCCAAAACTGAACTCATTATGTTTCCCCCTAAGGACTACCCTTCTCCAAACTTCCTTATTACTGTTGAGGATAACACCATCCCCCTAGTCCCTCAGACTTGAAATCTACATGTCATCCACACCTCACTAGCTTTCACCCCCTTTCCAACCTGTTGCCAAGGCCTGTTGATTTCACCTTTACAACATCTCTGTCAAATATGCCCCCTTCCTTCCACTGTGCCATCACTCTAATACAGTCCCTTATCACCTCACACCTAAACTACAGTAATAGCCTGCTGATGGATCTGCCTGCCTCAAGTCTCTCCCTACTCCAATCCATCCTCCATTCAACCACTAAAGTTATTTTTCTAAATCATAGGTCCAACCATGTCTCTTCTCCTACTCAGTGAACTCCAGTGACTTCTCCACTGCCTCCAAGATCAAATACAAAATCCTCTGTCTTTTGAAGCCCTTTCACTACCCCTCTCCTACTTTTCCAGTCTTCATCCCCTTCAATCCAGTGGCCCTGGCCTCCTTGCTGTTCCATGAACAAGACATTCCATCTCTCTGATCTGGGAATTTTCTCCAGCTGTCCCTCATATCTGGAATGCTCTCCCTCATCTCCACATACTGACTCGCCTAGATTCTGTTAAGTCCCAACTAAAGTTCTACCTTTTACAGGAAGCCTGTCCAAACCTCTCTTAATTCTAGTGCCTTCTCTCTTTATTATTTTCTAGTTTTTTCTTGTATATAGCTGGTTTATATATGTTAGTTTGTTTGTTGTCTGCCCCTCGTTAGACTGTGAGTTCCCTGAAAGCAGGGACTGCCTTTTACCTTTTTTTTTTCTTATCCCTAGAGCTTAGCACAGGGCCTAGCTCACAGTAGGCACTTAATAAATGTTTATTGACTGACTGGCTAAGTCTTTGCCACACTCTTTCAGGAAAAACCAGGATTCCTACACAAGGAGCAAATTGGAAGCCTTCCAAATTCCTCTCTCCTTTGGGTTTTCAGCCCAGGCACAAACGAACTCTCTTCCAAACATAATTCCAGGGTCTATTCCCTCCATTTTTTTAAACTCTTAGTGAGATTCACCACAGTCTTGGTAAAGTCCATAGTCTCTGCCAGTCAGCCACCATTTCTGGCCCCTTCATATGCAAAAAGATCACTCAAAGTCTATTGTGTTTACATTTATTGCCATATCTACTGCTGTCTGAACATTCTCCCTCCTTGCCCTCCTAGGTAATTCAGTACCTAACTCAATAAACAGCCTTCTTCTCCATTTCTAATCCTGCCCTGATACTTGGGGACTTCAGTATACATATTGATATCTCCTTAAACACCCTGGCCATCCAATTCATTAATCACCCTACTTGCCATGACCTATAACTTCATGCCATCTTAGCCAACCATAGGAGTGGTCATTATCATCACTCATAATTGTGTCATTTCTATGATATCCAACTCTGAAATAACCCTCTCTGATCACAAGCTTCTGTTTTTCTATTTCTTCTTCTGCCTCATCAATCAATGAATCAATAAATATTCATGAAGCATCATTTGTGTGCTAGGCACTGACCTAGGCTCAAGGAATACAAAGACAAAAATAAACCAGTCCTTGCCTGCCCTCAAGGAGAAATAATATGTGCATAAATAAATATATACAAAATAGGTACAAAGTAATTTAGGGCAGAACTAGCAACTAGAAGTACTCCTTTCTACAGGAAAAACTTCATATAGATGCCACTTGATCAGAGTTTTGAAGGAAATAAGGTAATTCTGAGGGTGGAGGTGAGGTTGCAGTGCATTCCAGACATGAGGAATAAAAGGCAGAAAGTATAGATATGAGAAATGGAGTATCGTGTGTGAGTATCATTTGCAAGAAGGCAAATTTGGCTCTACCAGCAAATTTGGTTGGACCGGCAAATTTGGGGAAAAGAGTAACATAATAAGATTAGAAAAGTAAGTTGAGTTTCTAAAATATATAGAGAACTGAGTCCAATTTATAAGACTACAAGTCACTCCCCAACTGATAAATGATCAAAGGATAGGAACAGGCAGTTTTCAGAGGAAGAAA